CTCTCTCTCTCTCTCTCTCTACATTCTCTCCCTTTCTCTCCAGCATCCAATGGTTATGCATTTAATCCTGTGGTTTTTGATAGGTATACCAAGGAGGCGATCGCCGCCAGCTCGAAGCTACTGGAAATTAATCCAGAAATATTAACTGTCTGGAACTACCGGAAGCTCGCTCTACAGCAGAACTTAAAGGAAGCGACAGATTCAGAGCGTATCAAATCTCTGGTGGACGATGAGCTCAGAGCCGTGAGTTTTATCCTTTTTTTGGAAGTGAATTGAGAATTGTTAATATTTATTTAGTGGGTAGATCTGATGTCGGGTTCTAAATCTCAAATTCTTAAGGTAGAGATAGCATTGAGAGCGAACCCTAAATCTTATGGGGCATGGTACCACCGGAAATGGGTTTTAAGTCAAGGGCTTGCCGAAGTAGATTTTGACAGGGAATTTCGGCTCCTGGACCAATTGCTAAAAGCTGATTCCCGCAATTTCCATGGTTGGAATTACCGTAGGTGATGCATCAGTCATGCTTTATTTGTTTCATTAGATTATAAGTGCTTGCTTAGGCTTTATAGTTCATGCTTTGGCACTTTAGGTTTGTTGCCAAGCTGAAGGGTTTGCCTGAGGTGGAAGAGTTGAAGTTCACTATGGATATGATTAACACCAATTTTAGTAATTATTCGGCCTGGCACAGTCGGAGGTATTTACATCATTGGCATTCTCATTATTCTGGTTGTGTTTTTTAAATAGATTTATTTTTGTGCATTTTTAGTGCATATTCGTGAAACTATTTTAACGCGTTATTTTGAGATATTTATTGTGCATGTTATCGTATCTGCCACAAAATGAATAGTCATATATGTTGACATGCTCAAGTCTTCAAGGCTTTCGTAATATGAAGAGTAATGAAACTAAGTTATCCATTGAAACTTGATAAATACATGAACACTTTGATCAATATATGTTAAGAGGAATGCAAAATTAAAATAAACCTTTGATTGATGTTGATGGATTGATAAGTGGATGCATGAATCAACCGTAAATGATGCAGTCAAGGATTATCGTTTTATATTTTGTATTTTATTTATGTTTTGGACTTTATGTAATTTTTTGTCTATGTTTTTATGTGCCCTATGATGGAAAACAACCTGTGATCATGCTTGGGTTTGGTGCTCTGTGGTAATTTCTCTCCTTTGTTTTCCTTTATTGACCTTGTTCTCTTGTTTCTTTATTGGCTTAGTGGAGGGCTGAAATTTCCTTAATGGGCTTGGCTCATTTCATTCCCTTCCTCTTGGTTGCTTGGTGTTCCATGCTTATTACGGTTTGTCTTTTGCCGGTTAGAATTCCTGCTATTTCCCATGCAGCTGGCAGTTTATTTTTGCTGTTTCGAATTCCTGCAGCTATCCATTCCCCTTCCTTTGTACTGTTTCCATGTTTTGTGTTGGCTCCTATTGGCTATTTGGGGTGGCTCATTTATGGGGCTGTTAGGTCCTTTTTCCTTCTATATGTGGGGTTCTTTGCTACAGGGAAGGAGGTTTTTTTAGATGAAATCTGATTGAAACCTGATGGTTTTCTTCATAAGCTTGAGAGCTTTCTTTTCGTGCACCTATTTCTTCTTCCGGTCTTCTATCTATTTCAACTCTCCACGGTTTTCCTTCCACTTGTATCCTTCTTCTCCTAATATAAAGAGTGTGGTGTGTTGTTGAGCCGGTTTGTTGGTATTTGCCGGAGGAGTGTCGACCTGTGTTGGAACAAGATTGTTGTGGTGAACCTCCGGTTTGATTTTTTTTTTAGCGCCAATCTCCAATTTTCAGATTTGCATGTGAGGTGAACTTTTTAGGTTGTTCTGATGGAAGTTTATGTTTTAGTTTGTTTATTGCAAAGTTTCCTTATTGTTTTCTAATTTTCTTATAACTGTTTCCTATCAAGTTTCTTTCTGTCTGAGGTGGTTTATGTTTTATTGAAGAAAGTGTTTTGTTTTTTCCTAAGTGTTATCCTATTTGGCCTTCTAGAACTTAGGATACAGCAATAAATAATAGGTAGATTCTAGTGTCTACTAGTTGCGTTGAAGATAGAGAGAGATTGAGAGAAATTTCTTGCTCCTACTTCATTGAGCGGTTGATTCTTAGATTATGCATATAGACAGCGGTGAGAAAGTTAAAGGGATTCCATTGCCTGCTTGTTGCAGTGCATTGAGATGCATATTGGGATAGATATAGAGTTGATAAACTAACAATGATATTCCATTAATTGCTGGCTGTCTTCTAGTTTGCATTGAGATGGAGA